CGGGGTGTCCACTACATCATTGGAGGGAGGGTCGGTGGGGTCGGCATTCCCTCCAATGAGAGGGTGCCGGGTGTCCATTATGGACACCCTTATGTTAGTGGTGATGTACCACTAGCATAATTCTTAACTATTAGGCAGATCAAATTGATTTGCATAAAGACTTAACTAGACATGGCATTCCTATTAATTGATAAATAAATTATATGCAACACAACTAAAAAATATGAGGTTTTACTGAATGTGTGGATAAAAAGTAGAAAAAAAAAGTTTTAGATTTATGTATAGAATATTTTATTTTGTCAAAGTATGGTTGAAAATGAGTATTAAAAAAAAAAAAAGTTTTCAAATAATGATTGTCAAATAGGGGGCTTAATTTCACAGCATTTTTTCCCGCCCACAAGGTGATCGGGGAAATGTTCAAACAACGTTTAGAATGGAAGTTGAGCCCATTTCCACACAAATCACATGCCATTCACTACGTTCTTTCGCTGTGTGTACACTTTTATATTTACATTGCATAATCACAATGTTGTGTTCACATGAGGTGTGCTACACACCATAGCATCAATTTCCCAGTTTTTGACTCCTATCTCCATCCGCCTCTTTTCATGCAATTCATGATCTGTTTGATGATTATTTTTGCTTCATTATATCCATTCGACTTTCATCCTTTTTGTAGCTCTACTATTTATGATTTACATCTAAAATTGAAGGTACAATAGCTTACAAACTATGGACACTAAATGCAACAGGAAAATGGGATTGGAAAAGCTCCAATATTGCCTCCAACATACGATACAGCCCCAGTGAGTCTTTGCATCCCTCTTTTGTTATTATTATTAATTTGTGCTTTATAATTGTATACATTGAAGACAGCGTATAATTTAAATTTGAGATGACTGCATTACGATGATATTTAATTATGATGATCTCGATACTTATATGATTGTTTTGTGTGCAAGTTACCGCTTTCCGTATGTATAAAAAGAACAAAAAGATTGAAAAGCATTAAAAATATTTTATTATTTTATTGTGTGTTAGTAAGAGCTGGACACTCTTCCCGGCTAATTACGATATTAAATTACTTGTGGTTTATCAATGCCTACTACGTATGAAACTATTTGAAATTTATTCTTGTTAAATTTTGATAACTTTTGAGCACGAAAGTCATCTTAATTACCTTATATATTTGAAGTGGTTTAATTGGAATTAAAAGCTATTTAGATAGGGAGTGAATTGTTTCAAACATCACTGAACTTAAACTATCGTCACGGACTGCTCATAGAACTTCATTATGCTTCACAGTACTCACTCAACTTTGTCATTTCCATCTACAACTACCAATGTCAAAAAAATTCGTTTGTTGGGCGCTGACGTGCCGACCTGCCTTCC